GGCCTGATAACTAGCATAGGGTTTGGGAATATATTCTTATCAGTATTGTTATTACCATGATAATTACAACGCATAGTCATCAAAGGGAACATAGCCTGCTATATTCCAGGGTTTGGACTCGAAGTTTGGGATGTTGTTTTATTGTATCAGATGTTTTCAGTTCCGCGGTATGTGAGTTTTTGGGCACGAGGCTTCGAAGGTCCGCAGTCGGACTTTTTGGCATGTGTAAGCACCACCTGCTCTCCCCCAACCAGGCCAAATTCACCCCAAACCTACGCTACAACCCCCATCTTGAGACACGAGTGTCAGTGCTGCTGCTACTGCTGCTGCTGCTGCTGCTGCTGAGACCGCGACTGCGAGTCCCACTACGACCAGGATGTAAAATTTGTCATGTTTATGTACATATGCTGGTAACAGGGGATAGTATGCTGTAACTACCTATTCATCCGGCTGCCTCGTAAAACACAGCTTGGAATCCTGTGACGAATGTTTGGTACGCTGCTGAGCTTGAACTCGCAAGGACAAAGGCTGCATGTCACATTGCTGACTTAGATGAAGGGGACGGGGATGAATGGCTTTGGATTCTATGACAGGACTTTCTATTCGGGCTCTATCAGGGGATGAAGCGGCCGTAGCTGCCCAGGCGGCTTTGCTGCTCGCATTCAGAAGGTCAGAGTTCTTCTCTCGTGCCCGTCTGCAGTAGACATCTCTAGGAAGATGCTGTTACAAGCTCCCCGAAGTCACCATTTGGCCGGACCTTCCAACACTGCATGTGGGAGATGCCATGTGCTTTGAACCACTTCTTCAACAGCTTTTCAAATCTATCTCGCGAGATCACCTCAACCTTGCCATTCACAATCTTCTGATACTTGGGATTCTGCTGATGAGGCATCCTGCTCGGAAGATTGTACGTGATTGCGAAGCGACCGTACCGCAGCTGAAATTTGCACTTGTCATACACGATGTCTTCATAGAGATGACAGTATGGCTGGGAGGGTCCCAGTCTCTCTTTGTCAGATTCGGGCACGCTATCCAGAATCACCTTCTCCAAAAAGAGGTAGTGGCGACCATGCTCATCCACCGCGAATGTATACGGTACCGAACTGAGGCCGACTGGAGATGCAAATTTCACAATCTCTGACATCGCCGTGAAACCAAACAGATCCTTTCCGATGAAGATGTATTCCCTGTCACATCTTTTCAAGAGGATGGCGTTGCCATCAAGATGAGGTCCGAATCCTAGGCTGCGCCGAGTTAGGTCTTCCAATTCGCTCCTTCCAATGAACACATCCTCCACTTCCATGTCGAGCACCGGCGAACCAAAATCACGTAGCCTGGCGCCGTATCCGCCTGACAAGTCCCGCTCTTCTTCGCTCTCGCTCTCCAAACGCCGCCTCTTCCACTTCGGTGGATCTGTGGTACCTTCACCTTCCAACCATTCTTGTCTCTCCTGCGGCACAATGGCACAACTCTCTGTACAGGCTCTTCGACAACTCGCCCCAAACACACAACACACAAAACACACACTGTGAACGGGTTGGCTGCCAAGCTTCATACCCTTCCGACCCTTCCCATTCCTTCTCCCAGTGAGGAAACACTGCAACTCTTCGAGTTTTGCAACGGCAAAGCAGCTCCACCAGGAATGGGGTCCCGCCATTCCACAGGGTTACGTAGCGCTGCGGTCGTCGGACCTTTGTTCTCGCCACCACCACTGCTGGCAAATCAAGGTCACATAACCGGATCGTTGAAGGCAGCAGTTCTCCCTTGAAGCGGAGGCCGCTGACTGACTGGCCCAGAGGGAGATGATTTTCAACTTCCTGCCATAACCTGGATCATGTCAGCGACCCATCATTAAAATCCAATGATGATACACACAGCTCCTTTTGGCTTGTGTTAGCTTGGGGGCTGTCAGAGTATCACGTGAAAAGACATGTAAAAGGGCCAGAGGCGATGCCTACCCCACGCAGCTCAAATGATGCCATCTAATGATTTTACTTTCATGACGCCATGGCCTGGATGACCTGGCCGCGGGTTCCAAGTCGTGCACTTTCAACTCCACCAAAACATCACCAGCTGCACTGCGGACTGTGATACGGTCCGATGGTGGAACTGACGCCATGGAAGCAAAACATACACACACACATATATATATATATATGTATAAACTTGCAGGGCACAACAGCGCTTCAAATGTTACACATGATGTCCTAAGACGTCACAAGGTCTTTAGAGCTTAAGCCTGTCCGAGAAGGCTGATTCTCCCAGGGGCTGACAAAGCCTTGCGGTGCTTAAAAACATGTGTTCTCTATATCATCTACCCCAGAGCCCAGCACTGCTTGTTGCGGCATCTACACTGATGATCACGTGGCCTCCTGGCTGTGCTTGTGTTAAAGCTAAGACTTGAGCAAGAAAACAGCCGTGGTCTCCAGGCAAACCCTGACCCACAGGCGAAGTAAAGCATTGATTTCAGCCCAGGAGATACCAGGTTGAACGAAACGGCAACTAATTGTGGCGATGAGTCACGGCAGCAATGATTCCCTAAGCTTGTTCATCCCTGGTCTCGAAAACAACTATGTAGAACGGCTTCCAACACTCAACGTCGAGCAAAAGATGAACACTTGGAAGAACGACCATTGATGACTAGCACTCGACCAACATTTGGCTCCCAAGATTGCACGAGCTGCAAGACGAGGCTGATGCAAAACCCACCCAAAGCTTCCTGTACCACCTCTTCTTCCTCTTCCATCTTGGTCGCTGTGACCACTACCTGCCAAATCTGCCAAGCACAATCTCCGTAGGATGAACAACTGCGGCAACAACCATAACGTCGCAAAAGTTCAGGCAAGACGACGAACTAGTGAAAGTAGTGCACTACAAACACTGCTTCCAGGCGCTCACACACCCACAACAACTTGCCCAAACTCTGCTTGCCTCGAGTTCAAGAACACCTACACTTACCGGAAGGCTCAACATAGCCCAGAAGCCTTATATAATATTGTCTTTGGGTCCAATAGCCCTAAAATCTGAGTCCTTAGAGCCTTAGGAGTTACATCAGAAATCGCTGTACACCACCCGGGCGGTCTGAAGCCTCGAGCCTAAGTTAGCCTGCTGACATCAAACCCTCAACGATCTTACGAGTGCTATGAATACAAATTGGTTATATATATATATTTATTTATTTATTTAGTTAGTTAGTTATTTATTTATTTTATAGCAGTAATAAGAACATTCGTACTAATACTAATAATAATGGTAGTAGTATCTTGCTGACGACAGCTGTGAGCCTGAGCGCCGTCTTGCTGGAATCCGAGCAGTACTGGCGCTAGGACTTAGGGCTGAGTAACTCTGCTGCTCGTAGGGTTATAGGGTTTAGGGAGCCTTAGGGTTTAGGGTTTAGGGGGCTATGCTTTGTGTTGTGAAACAAGGTGATTGATGCGGCTGCTTAGACTATCTAGGACTGCACTATACTGCACGTGAAGGGTCATTGATGCTCACAATAAGACAGGCTGCAGGATAAATCCTACATCCCAATGTCAGACTGCATTCCGCGCCCTCACCCAAGATCGGGGCCTGAATGATTAGAGGGCTCGTCACGGTTTTACAATGATTGCTAACGGCTTTTTGATGAGAAGGTTTACGGTACGGGGTGGATGTGGCTTTATGCATATTTATGCATATACGGTTTACGATGCGGGCCTGAATCAGTCAGAATGGGGTTTTGGGCCATGCTCAACTTTCATTCTATCCGGGAGCCTCAGGGAACAGGATCAATCATTCGGGCCTCCTTTTTACACCAAACCCCCAATCGCACCAAGCTCAAAGGACCTGCTTCGGCGCCAACTTCGGCTTGGGAATGTTCTTCGCAAATTCCCGGGCCTGCAGACAGCACAGCTTTGGCTCGTACAAAGAGACTGCAGGTGGAATGTGCATTTTTGGGGGATTTTGTGTGTCAAGACTGATAAAAGCTTCTTCTAGCGGGCAAGGGGTCATTGACCAAATCCCTCCTCCAGTATCGCTGGGCATGCTGTCGAATTTTCTCCCGGTCCCAGCGACTCCAGCAACTCCTTCAACTCTTGGGGCAGTTCGACCCTGGCATGAAACGCACCGAACAGTGCCGAAAAACGGACCTCGGCACAGTGCAAAAAGAGGCGGAGGCACTGTGGCATCAAGGTCTCAGACTGACGACCGTAAGTTAAATCCCCAACCAACGGACGCCCCATGCTGGCAAAATGCACTCGAATTTGGTGTCTCCTCCCAGTCTTGGGCTGCACACGGAGCAGCATCAACTCGTCCCTTCCCGTACTCGGCGAGGAATATCGACCAACGACTTCGTAGGAAGTGAAGGAATCACGCCCGGCGACCTCCTGCCCACAGACCTCGCTAATCCAAGTGTCCGCATCCACTTGCACAGATCGTAGAGGCACCGAGATGTTCCCTTTGCTTCCAACGTCACCCAACGATCTGCCTTCCTGGCAGATGAGGGATGATGGAAAAACTTAGTCCCCATGAACTACATAAGACTGGTCCGCCAGGCCGGCCGCTTTCCCTTAATCTTGTTCCAAGGCTCGCAAAGGCAGATGTAGTGCTTGCTGACGAGCCGCCCCGCAAACTGTGCTTCACACCATCGCCCGGAAGGGGACGTCTCCGCTCCCAAGACAAGGGGTAACACTCCGGAGGTCGGTTGATCAAGCCTGGCATAGGGGTGTCTGAAATTGTCGTAGCGAATCAGGGAAACCAGGCCAGGCTTGTTTGTTGTATTGATTGGACCGGGGTCTATTCGCCAAGCACGAAACATGATGCCAAGAGATTTGGTGGTGCTTGTTTACTGACGTATTGCGACCTACATGCATGCAGCCCCCCGGCGAACTATGCGGGCTTCAGGCACGCAGTCATGTATAGTAGTTCTTAGAAGGCTATGAAAAGCGGTAGCACTCGAATTGCTGAATTATAGTGACGCGCGTTTTGTTGCTGCCATCATGAACCCGAGGGTTTTTTTCCAAACTTTCCACTCGCTTTACTATGGTTGGACCTTCTTCTGCATAGGCTTAAGTGCCATTCCTGACAGCCTTTGAGATTCCGCACATGGGGCTTTGAAGGCTTAGTTTTGACTTAACTCAACTACTGCGGGGCATGTACGTATGCGCAGCAGGCATGCATATCTATCTGTCTACTTGTGCTGATTCAACACATGCACATGCACCCGTGTATAGCACAACGTTGTCGTGCAAACATTAGAAGAGATGAAATCTGGCTACCCAGGACCGGGGAAGAGCACAGTTATGCAGGCAAGGTGATGTTATTGCTTCTTGCAGCAAGTAGCTCAACTCCCACAACTAATGAGTCACGAAGGCGAGCCCCTCAAATCGCCTAGGGTCGATGTTGAGAGTGGCCTACTGGCAGCTGGGATAAACAGGAACAAAGTAACTTTAATTCTAACTAGGAAAGCACCGAGCAGCCGCGACACCACAGAGAGGCAGAAGCCATGTTCCTTGAGTGACACTGCCAGCTGCTCCACCAACTGCTCCGTGCTGACACCTTCATGTCCCCCTACCTACTGAAACTGAATGCCGAAGGAGCCACCCCAAGTGTCCGGAATTCCTGTATCCCCTGGAAGCAAGCCACTCCAAACCGAAATCCCAAAAACCCTAGAATGTGGATTTGCTAACCTCCAGCCTTCCAACCACCTAAATCCTGCTCGAACCCTAGACCGCAAACGAAAGAACAACCGAAAATCCACGCACCATCTTAGGGGCCAAAGCTCTGGCAAACACCTTCAGAGGATTCAGATGTTTAGGGCTTATAGGCCTTGCACGGTTTCGACTCTCACGCTCGCACTGGACACAAGGCTGGGGTTCGTGGTTTGGGTTGAGGGCCAGTTTAGGGATAGTGCAAATTTTACCCCGCTAAGAAACAAACAGCCCTGTGTTGTTTCTTTCTGTTGGCGCAAGGATTTGGAACGTGCCATGCGGGGTATATTTTAGGCTTATAGGTGACGGAGCCCGTAACGTGCCCTGCGTTTAAGCCACTTGTCAGGTTTGAGGATTTATGTTTCTCGTTTGGGTGGGGGCGAGGGGTCGGTGAGTGGGTGGGGGGTGTACGAACATCATTCGTACTGCGGCAATGCCATGCAATGCCCAAATACCACAGGTAGCCTCTTCGCACAACATGCTGCACAAGAAATTGATGCAAGTCGCGTTGTCACAAACATCCATGCCTTTGGCGACCATGCCGCAAACACTGGTATTTACAGCATTTTTGCCTTTGTACAAAATATGTGGAACAAGACGCGTTGTCACAAGCGTCAAAGCCTTTGGCGACCTTGCCGAAAGCACTGGCATTTGCAGCTTTTTTTGCCTCTTTGTACAACATACTGTGCAAGGATGTGGAACAAGACGTGTTGTCACAAGCGTATGAAGCCTTGACGGTCTTTTGCAGGAAGTGTAAGGCTGGACAAAGTTTCGCTTGGAGTCTGCCCGAAAACGCTGTCGCCGTCTAGGCTCTAGCACTGCAAACAGAAATTATAGGATGATTCAAGTATTATTGTCCTTCTGCTTGATGCATTTTGCTGTAAGAATGCGTTTTCCCAGGGTTTTGGCAACGAGTTAACAACCAGCTGTTTGCAAGAACGCAAGGCGCATTACAGGCGCCGTTGGCTTATAATTATCATAAGGAAAACTACGGCAGAATTTATTGGTAATCAATCCGCCCCCTAGAGGATGGTAAGCTGCATTGTCATGGAAAGCCTTTCGTGAATCGGTCGACTTCATGACATGAACAGACATGCAGCATGCACGGCAAGAATCTAAGAAGCAAGCCCCAATGCTAGCCCTCGGCCCGACCAAGACAGGACACAAAAGCCCAGACCCAGTGATCAGTGCTTCGATTGGGTGTGTACGCTACAGAAAGTATGTAACTGGAGCCACATAGAAATTCCAACCCGCCACACCCTCAACCGAAATCCCCCAACCTCCAGCTACAAGATGTCGGCCCCCAAAAACCCTCATCGAAAACTCAACGCAGTATTATGTGAAGCCCTATACAAACAACTGAAAGCATAACACCCTCAAACACGGTGCCCGTTTTAACCCCTGTACCCAAGGATATGAAATCCTTCCTATCCCGAAAGACAGGCCCTAAGGGCGCCACCTTCGGGTTTCGCCACAGCGAAGACCCCCGGGGCCGAGGCTACGACAGAGAACTCCTCCTGGAGTGACCTCGGCTGGGCTTCAATTCGGAAGTTCCGTGGTAAGTAGAGACATGTTGATTTAGTTTTTCGGATTCTGGGTTTTGGGGGTTTAAAGCATTCAAGGATAGGGCAGGAAAACAAACAACCACATGCAACTCCTTGCCGCGTGTGCATGATTGCCTCAGTCCCTGCTTCTCAATATGGACTAAGTATCGGCTTTATCTTACCTGTGTAGTAAACTTGGGAGTTTACATTCTACCTGCTACCTGTGGAGCTTTTGAAAATAGCAGCCGGATTCACTTCAAAACAACAGCATATGCCGAAACCAAAACCATCATCGGATCTGGCGACAGGCTGTAGTGGTGTTTAATAGTGTTTACATATTTTTTTAGGCAATCCGCAGCGGCTTTTGGTTTCACAACAACTTATCACGCGAGGTGGTCCACGGCCTTTAACAGGGGGAAGCTAACGGATAATCACTGTCTAGGTCTTTCAAGCTCGGATACTCTGGCTGGGGGCTGGAGATGTTGCAATCTTGCATCCTCTCGAAATTAGCTTGCAGGTTCTGATGCTCTACGGCGGACGAACGTCTGTGACAACCAAGCGACCTGGGCAACTCTGGCACATCGACCATTTCGAGCCAGACGCTCTTCAGCCTCGACAATACTGTCTCCAAAGCTGCGGCGGATGTCCTGGGCAATTCGACAGAACAACACATCGAGCGCAGGCATTCGGACTCGAGTGCTGGTTGGTTGAGGGAGGAGTATGCATAACGACGTCCAAGCTACTGGCGAAGCGAGTGAAGGATGGATCCTGCAGCCGTTCCTGACGGAACGATCTGGTCAGAGATCATGTGGTCCAACACTTGCAGGGCGGCTTGCCACTGGGTCGCCCTCTCGCAAGCCCCGAGCACCACCTGCCAACTTATTTCTGTAGGGCTGAGATGCCACAGTTGGATTTGGCTGAAAAGCTCCAGCACTTCAGTCCAACGATGGCTCTTCTCACATGCACTCATGGCAGCATTCAAAGTGATGATCCCGGGTCCGGCCGGCCCGCTGGTTGCTATCAGACCCAGAATCGCGAGCGCCACGTCCCAAGCCCCGCATTTCTCGCAGGCGCTGATGGCGGCATTGAAACTGATCTCGTCGGGATCCATCTGCTCCGAGGAGATGGAGGTCAGCAGAGCTAAAGCATGTTTCCACTGCAACTTGCAGCTGCTGATTGCGGCATTGTAGCTAATTCTGTCGGACAAGGACTTCGATGACATCTCTTCCAAAAGCTGTATCGCGACGCCCCACTGACTGCTCTTCTCGCAGGAGCTGATGGCCGCATTGTAACTGACGGTACTAGCCTGCAACGCGTCGCGCTTCAGCTCCTCCAGCAAGATCAACGACAGCCTCCAGTGGCCCTCAGGCTCGCAAGCGCTGATGGCGATGTTGAAGCAGATCAAGTCGGGCAAAAGGTCAACCTGGCAGAGCCGAAAGAGCAGATCCAACGCACTGCTCCACTGGCCATTCTCCTGACATGCTCGCATCGCTGCCCCGGCCATGATCCTGTTGGGCACCAGCTCAGCTTGGCAAGCGTTCCAAACGAGGCTGACCGCCAGCTCCCAGTTTGCACCCATCCTAGCTGCCCCCACGGCAGCACTGTGACATATCATGTCTGGCAGCACCCGCTGCCACGACATGGAGTCGAAAATGCCAAGTGCCTGAAGCCAGGCGCTGCCTTTTTGGCAGGCGCTGATGACAGGTACGTAGCAGAACACATCCGGCTGCAGCTGGTTCTGCAGCATCTCCTGGCGTGGTCATGCTCCTTGTTACACTGGCTGCTATACTCGTACGGTGAACCAGTATGTTAAGAAATATTTTCAAACAAGAAATGAGATCCTGGTTCACTCCAAAAAAATATTTGAGAGTCTCGAAAAACAAAATGCCAGTAGGATTACGGTGACTATTTTAAAATCTGTACATAAGCAGTAAAGCAACTGTTCTGCATTACTCTCTGGTTTGAAGCCCCAAATAGTCTGCAGCCCTACCTGACCAAAACCCTTGTTTAGCCCTTTGCCCAAGAGGGCTGGCACCGAAATCGGGCGAATCAGACGCTAATTCGCTCAAATCCGCAAACGAGGCCCCGAGGTGTGGTGAGGGAAACGGGCACTGAAATCGTACACTAATTCGCTGAAATCCACAAATAAGGCCCAGAGGTGTGGTAGGGGGAACTGGCACTGAAATCGTGCGAATCAGCCGCTAATTGGTCCAAATCGGCAGGGGAGGCTTCGTTGGGGCTGGCACCCAAATCGTGCGAATCAGACGCTAATTCGCTCAAATCCAGAAACAAGGCCCATGCAGAGGCAAGATCTCTGACAGATTGAGAGGAGAAGGACTTGTCACGACTTGTCCATGCAGTTGGGTGGCCGAGCGGCCAAGCGCTTAAGCCAGCAGAGTCTGCATGCGACAAGCATGGGCTTAAACCCCCCTCCCCGCCAGCGTTTTTGTTCACCGCCTCCCTGCGTATTGGGACCAATATAGGCTATTAATTCGTACGACTTCAGTGGCAGCTTCCCCCGCAACACCTCTCGGCCTCTTGCGTGGTTTTGAGCGAAGTAGCGTCTAGTTCGCCCAATTTGGGTGCCAACCCCAACCAGCCTGCCCACCACCTCTTCACCCCTCCCACTCCACCCCCCCTTCCTGTCTGTCCTCCTATCCCACTCACCCCTGCCCGGTTCACCCCCCACCCCTCCTCCCCCTCAAACCCTAACTTGGCAGCATACGGGTTCATTTTTGGCCTAGACATCGAATCAGAGGAATCGACGAGGCAATACGGCAATATGAAGAAGCGTTCAATTGCAGGACCCTTGCCCTGAACCCCGAACCCCCACCCCCAAAGTCCTAAACTGAGGACCACTTCTTCGAAATTTGACTGAATTGGCGTGTAATTCGTACGACCTGGGTGCCAGCCAGCCCAACCAAGCCTCCCCTGCCGATTTGGACCACTTCAGTGGCTATCGCACGATTTCAGCCGCAGCTTCCCCAACAACATCTCCGGGGCCTCGTTTGTGGATTTGAGCGAATTAGCGTCCAAATCGCACGCTTTGCGTGCCAGCCAGCCAATACAGAATTTGCAGAACCCTTATAACATCTACGTTTTCTTGACCCAAGTAAACCCCTGTAAACCCTCCTCACACCCTACTCCCAGCCGATCCAAGAGTCCGCCAAACCACCCAGAGCTAGCTCCCAGCATCCGCTTCGCTCAGAGGCTCCTTCAGTAGCGGTTGCTTCACAAAAAAAGTCAAAGCAAAAGGATCAAGACCTTCATGGGGCTTACGGTCAGGGATTTTTGGGCTTGTTTGTTGGGGCTGAGGGCTCATCGCCTCGAGGTTTTATGGTATGGGGTTTAGGGCTTGGGGTGTTTGGGACTATTAGGATTTCCAGGCTTGTTAGCTCAAAACACTCTCTAAATCCGATACCCGGAACTGAAACTGCAGTCTCTGAGATCGGCACAAGTTAGTTGTCGTCTGAGGAATGACCCTTCCTTCCTCCCAAGTAGGGCTTCAGGTTTACCACTCTGTGTTTAGGGCCGCAGGCACTCTTTGCAGGGTAAGCCACCCAAGGCGGCACTGCAGTGGAAAGCGTTGACTTCCACCTGCTTCGTGAGATCCCGAAACGTCACACGCACAAGCCAAGCTAGTCGGTTCCCATGCTTGCGTTTGTGCTGGCCTTTGCCATCACTTTCTAGCTTCAGCCTTTCTTAGCATGCTTGAGGTGTTACGTTGAAGACCACCAGACCAGCGAGCTCTACCCTAAGTCCTATATAGACTGGAAGCCCGAAGTCCGAAACGGGGTTGCCAAGCCACGCCCGCAGCTCTCAGCGCCTCTAAGGCCAAGAGAGCCAGGTCGGCGCGCCTTGCTGCTCCGAGACCTGGACACTTGGCCAATGAATGGGTCTGCATGAGAGTAAAAATAAATCATCACAGTAGTCGATGGCATAATGTACTACGATTATAGCAATAGCAACACTATCAATCATTTAGTTTGTTACATCAATCAGGGGTTTTATTAAGGTTATATGCGGTGACATAAAGAAGTAACTTGCCTAACAAACCATGCGTAAAGTTGCGTGAACGGACGCTATATCGTGTGTCGGAGACATCTTGAACCCTCAACACCGGTAAAAAGCTACAGTATACCCCTCTCTTCCCATAAAGCCCGAGCCCTAAACGGATAAACTCCTGATCCCTAAAGTGACCCTGCAGTAGAATGAGGCCGGAGGCGCACTATCCTGTATCATGCTTAGGAAGCCAATGATCAGGATTCAGAATCACAGTTGATGGTCGCCGCCTGCATTGTGAAATAACCCGCCCATGCAGGCCACCCTCTCCAAAGCCCCTGCAACAGAACATATACCATCGAAGCCTTGATACTTGCAATGGGGTTTCGGTGTATATTATACGATAATATCAATAGAAGCCCTGTAAGGAATACGATCGCTAAGTACTCCAGCCTCCGTAATAGTCATCAGCATCCCCGAGCCTTTGAGTAGAGCTGTGAGATGACGAGCGTCAGCCCGCAACCTTCTCACAGAAGAACCCACGCACTAGGGTTCAGGGTTTAGGGAATGGGAGGAAGCGGTCGGGAGGGGTGTCCTGATTTGAGGTTTTGGGCGCTTTGGGTTCGGTCTGGGACCTGGACCGTCCACTTATATGCCGATCTCTCCAACTCATCTACACTATAGCTACAGTATTCCGCTGCTGTCGTATTATGATGGCATAGATTCGGCATAGATCCCCCAAACCCTGATCAAGCACTACGGCAACCCACGGAGAGACCACCTGACACCATGACCATTGCCAAACGGCTTTCCTCCACCTACTGGCAGAATTCACAATTACTGAGTACCTACTGCGCTGATGCTTCCCTCCGTATACTGGCAGGATTCAGGAGGACGGCCAAGATGCTTCTTCAAGTTCTGGCAGTGTTCAAACAGTTCTTGAAGCCACAAGTTGGCCAATATATTGGAATTTGCAAAGGATTTGGCATTGCGTTGGACGCGGCCGCGCCGCGTGTGGGTACACAATATATGACGTAGGCGCAAGCCCTGCGCCGTACCGCATCCCGGGGAGCCTCCCGGCAGCATGAGCGTTTTGACTGACATTGAGCAAACGCTATCTGCTATTTGCAAACACGCAAACCCAACCCGAGAGAAAAATAATCGGGTTGTTGATGGCACGCTCGACGCGCACTACCAGATAGAGTGCGACAGAGAAAACGTGCTAAGCCAGCCGCCACCAAACACACAGTGCTCTCCGCCGCTACAAGAAATCACATCAATCCGCGTCAGCAGACCTCTTCGTCAGAGGAGCAGAAGCTTATAGAAGCTTAGGCAACTCAATCAAGGTTGAACAATTCCGTCATTTCGCCAATACAAGCTCCGACTATCCTCAACCCTACAAGTCAACCCTATCATAGAATCTGCAAAAAATCCCGAAGATCGCCGGATTCAGAATCTTGGAAGTCGCCCTTGACCAGAAACCTCATCAGGATATGAATAAACCAGTCAGAAGCGTATACCCCCCAGCCCAGACCCCGAACCCCGATCCCACCCTAAAGCTCCGGGCAGCCTTGGAATATGTGGCTCGAGCGCCCGTCGCGCCAGCGCAGCAGAAGTCGGCTCCGCCCCTGTCTGCTCAGGAAGCTTACTTAGGTTTTGAAGCGTCCGACTTATAAGGGGTGCAAGATCGGTATCGAAAGAGCCTTAAATGTTGGAACAGGGGTTTTGGGGTATACTATACCACCAACATAGTACTGGTACTTATTTAGACCCTTACCTAGCGAGCCCAATAGCTCTTAACTAAGGAACATACCTTAAACCACAATATTAAGCGCAAGGGCCCTATAATTTAAGGTGTATTCCTTAACTAAGGGGTATTGGGCTCTCTGGGTAGAAACCCCAAAGCCTTTTTTATGGTTTATTTTTAGAATCCTGTAAGGTAGTCCCACAAAGGAACTACTTAGGGGGCCTATGGGTAGGCCCTTATATAGGGCCTACAAGGACAAGGGTTTCGGGTTTATTGAAAACCCCCAGGCCGAAAGCTCCCACGCCCGGGAATGCCCGACTCAAAATTCGAGCTTGAGTTATTAAAATAATAAAGTACAACCATATAAAACTGTGGATCATGTATAAAATCCCAAAAACTCTGAACCCAAATACTTTAAAGCCCTTCTAGCAACCCTAAGCCTCTAAACCCTAAACTTTTAAACCCAAACTTCA